TTCTAACATAAATGAGTGAAAATGCACCCGCCGCTTGCGTTTCAAAGGGCAGTGGTGGAAAAAAAGGTCCATCAGCAAGGACTTTCCCGTGCCGACTTCGCCGTGTAAGTATAAGCCTCGGAGGACCTTGTGCTGTGCGGTGGGGGACGATGGTGACGCTACAGCGGTCGATGAGGGCGTCGTTTTCTTTTCGCTCGATGATGAACTTGACGGTAAGGTCAGCGAAGAATCCATTTGTTTAAAGCTCATTGGTGGAGTATAGGTAGCGAGGAGACGTGAGAGCTTATCAAGCCGTCTGGCAACTCGATGTTGCTTTGCGTCTCTGCGCAAAGCCCCTTCATTTACCAGTGCTTCGTACACTTCAATTAAAGGTCGATTTGCAATACCAGCACTCGCTACTTCGTTCTGTGAGTGTATCGTATGCAGAAGGCGTGGGCGTGATGCAAAGCATGAATTCGTGCCACAAATTGAGGAGGCGAGGCCCTACCTGAAGTCCTGGACGAAGGGAGTTTGCGTGGCAAGTAGAAGCAAGGCCTAGAGCCCGCGTGGAGGCTAAAAAAGGACGACGTTGCCGTGCAGCCAAAAGTAGGACAGGACGGCCGAGCATCCGTATACTGTGCAGTAAATACGATAATTCTTCATAGAACAAGTACACGTCATTGTCAAGTGCTGTGACCTCGCTCTGAGCTGAGGCAGCGAGGGGGCTGGCTTGCACGATCTCAGTCTTTGTTCACAACCAGAACTTCTACGGAAAGGCGCGTCACACAAACAGACCTTGAACCTTAATATGTGATTCCCTGATAGTACTAAACAGCTAGACATGCCTTCTCACCTAGTTCGTGTCGTCATGAATGAAACAGAGCCCAGCCGGAGACGCTCCGACCTCCTCTCCCCCCTCCCCTACGCTGTGATACTAAAGAGTACAGCACGTCAACCTTTCCCTATACGGCCCATGTATACGCTTTCATTGCTTGCGGTTATCTCATTGCTGGCTAGCATGCTGCTATCGGAGGCCTTCATTGTTTGTACGAAGCCCTCTCCTGAAGTTGTCGTGAGAAGGAGAACGCACTCCATCCTTTTCATGAGCACCGACGCCCTAGAAAAGGCCGCTTCCTCTTCGACAGTGTCCAGTGACACCTCCTCGGCAGAATCAGACACTGTCATCAAGTCTGCTGGTCCCTGCAAAAACTTTCCGAAGTGTGACGGGGCCTATTTAAATAGAGGCTGCGGGGGCACCGGCAAAATCCAGGGGGGTATCGCAACCTTTCCTCTTCTAGGGTGGTGGCCAATCAAGGTATGTAAATGTGCTTGGCCGAGGATGGTTTACTTTTCAATTGCCAAACCGACTCTTTCGAGAGGAAGGGGGAGGACAGACTACATGTGTTCTAAACACCTTTTATGACGGTTCTCTTCCTTTTTAACCTCTCTATCGCTTTCGATGTGGTTCCTCACGATTCTTCAACATCTTTCCCCTTTTTATGCTTCTGATAACACGACACATTGATCTCCAGGCGTACCGTCCATGTCCCTCTGCGACAGAGGCGGGCTATGGCTACAAGCGGAAGGGACAAGATTTCTCCGAATTCATTGCTGGAGAGCGGCGGAAGAAGCCGGAAGGGGAAGAACTAATCGATGTTTAGAAATGGGACAGTAGAATCACGCAATGTTGTGGGTCGTGCGTGAATGACTTGCCATTTTTGGTGGCATAAGGACGTTGGACGAGGACGTCAGTGAAGATGCTGGGACGATGAGAGAAATTGAATTTTCAGGACGAAGGTTGTCATTCGTGTCCTACCTTCCGTTTCTTTTGTTTTTGTTGACTCTCTTTACCACTTCACCTTTGATTTGACGAGGAGTACAGTAAGCGACTTTGTGCTGCGAGTGAATGGCATGACGAGACGGCAAGATGAGGCTTGAAACAAGACAGTGGGTCCCGTGTTTGTCAAATCAGTAAGAGCATCTTGTGCTTTCGAAAATCCGTCTGGTAGCAGACATGCCGGACGTGAAGCTCTTCTGGCGAGCACGAATTCGTTTCTATGAAAAGACAATCCACTGCTCGGCTTCTTGACACCTCGCACCTCGATGTTGGCCCTATCTTGTTTAAACATAAAATATTCCTCTTTTTGCTTCCGCTGTTACATGCAGCCTCAGAGTCATCGCAAGTTGGATGTCGCAAGTTTATTGTCTGAATAAGGTACAAATCAATCAAATAAATGCCACAACGCGGAAGCCTGGTCATGCCGACAATTCTTTTAGCTGTGCACGACTGTTCATCAAAACCATTGACTTGCAATTTACGGCAGTCAAATGAACTGTTCTTAAAATACTGTTTTGGAATGGCGAAAAGATAAATTGACCATATGGCGCCGCGTCGGAGGGGTCTGAAAGAAACGAAGTGAGGGGTAAAAAATCAAGTTAACATCATTTCAAGAACAACGCACAAGTGGTCGAAAAGGGCCACTTGTAATGTTAGGCAGTGCTCCGAGAAAATAGTCGAGTAGGAAGCAAGCAAGATTGGTGGCAGTGTATGCACAAGGTGAACATGCGTTGTTGCGAGCCGGTCAACGCGTTGCGTTCGCTCCTCGTCTTCGTTACTATGGGAGTTTGCGGCTTCCCGGCGGCTGCTGTGTGAAATCCCCGGTGCTCGCTTTGCTGGCCCTGGCGCCCGGGGTGTCCACACGACATTTTCCGCACTTATTTACACCTGCTTGCCAGCATGCAACCTTCAAGTTTAGAGGGCAGACACGCGCTCGAAGTTTGTCCGGTCTTGCAAGTCGTTAAAGTGGCCTCCGCCCAGGAACTCCGGTCGGCCGACATAGGAAAAGATAGGGCAGTTCCCGGCCTAACCGACGAGTCACGTCGACTCCAGCCTCACCAAGGGCTGCGGGTTCCTGCAGGTGTCACCGGATCTCCCGATAAAGACTACATGGAGGACTTAGACATGTCCGCGCCTGCATCCCAATTGTTTGGTAAAGTCGAATGTATGAAACGCTACATTCGAATAATGCGTGTCGCGTTTATAGCTTCGTTGTGGTGGGCCCCACATGGGACGCTATAACAGCCCGTTGCATGGTGCCGGAAAACCCCAATAAGAGATAGCCTGAATAAAGTCGTGTGCCCGTTCTTGATGTGGCACGCATACTCCGCTCACTTTGAGAAAGAACATGTGGTGAAAATTGACAAGGCCTGCAAAGCCAGACTGCAGTAGCCACGAGAGCATGGATGCGTCTGAGCCGAGGAGCGGGCGATAGGCTTTGATTCTTCTCGTGCCACCGCCGTGTAGCTGGCGTCACGAACAGAAACATCACACACCAAACCATGCTCCAAAGTGTGCCACATCACGCGCCTAATCTTTTCTCGTGCCTCTCCTTGCCTACAGTAGCATGGTGGTGCCCCTGGACCGCATGCAAGCCACCGACTTGAAAGCAGCGGGCGCCCCGGCCCCCGCCCAACCTAGGAGGACGTGCACTGCTTGTAAAGCAAGCAAGGTCAAATGCGATCGGCAAGCCCCCGTTTGTGGCAGGTATGTCTTCATGAACTCACCAGGGGCTTCAGATAGTTCAATAAAAATTCTTTTGTGCATGGACATACGACGGGGTTCCATAATCATGTTGCGTCACCCACAGATGCGCCCGCCTCCGGCTGACATGCGTCCAGCAACCACGTGCCCAAGGGCGCCCCATGAAGGTATGGTAGCTTCGAATGATGAATTTAGGTCATCTGGAACCTATTCACACAATGTTCATGCTTGTAGTTGTTGAAATGGCGGCCCTTCAACATGTGGAGGAGGGTATGGAAGATGCACGGAAGCTTGATACGGAGGGGCTTACAATCTTGTACGACACACACCAAAATAGTCGAAGTCTTCGGAGAGCGAGGGCATTATCAGTCCCGAAGGAATGATAGAAAGCACCCTAGCCACGCGGGAGGCCACTCCGGCACGCGCCGTATCAAGCGAAACGTCCACCCAGTGGGCCGCGGACTACATGGCCTTTACATTCTCCAACCTGCTCAAGTCCGGCGCAGTCCATCGCATGAAAACCTTCGCTGTGCTGTAAGTGTTCTCTCCTTGTACTCTTTCGTGCAGCCTGCATATTTTTCCCCTTATTAAATCGGCCCTCCCCCCTACCTCGCACATAATCATGCCGAGGAAATCCTACCGCTTTGATGTCTCCCGCGGGTCGCGCCCGATTGTCGCCGCTTACCTACAGCTCACCTTTCGTTTATCTGTTTCCCCTTTTCGTTTTGCCCAATCCTCATGTTTTTCTTCCCAGGCGCGTCTGGATGCTGTTCAGCATGTACTACGGCGTCGACCTGACCCGGGGCTTCCTCTCTGTGGCCTTGGCCTTGATGGATGCCTCCATCCAAGACCTCCAGCGTCTTCCCGAGACAATGGCCAGTAGCGTAGCCCTCCCCCCTGATCAACCCGCCGCCGAGGCCGCCTCCATCACCTCCTCCACCTCCTCTTCCTCTTCCTCCTCCTCCACCCCCGTCTCCTCGGTAGATGCCGCCGCCTCCGCTCCCCTCGACCCCGGCGTCCTCCAGCCTTTCATCGCCTCTTTAGACGACGGCGTATCTGCGGTTATTTGCTGCGTTGGCTGTCGCGGGGGCACCGGCAAGGTTTACTGCAACGACAAGTTCAAATCCACCTTCTTCTCCTCGGAGGACCTGACCCAAAGGACGCTGAGCGAGAGCACCCTCCCCGTCTACGTTTACGCCTGCATCATTGCGCCGGAAGACCGGGCCGAGTTTGTGGACTCGCTGACGAACGTCTGCTTCGGGACCCAGACGGCGCTCCCGCAGGTGACGCACATCGTCAAGGTACTGGACAGGCAAGGGAGCGACTTCCTCGCCATCGTCCGCCTGCGTTGCTTGACGCTCAACAACGGGGACTACGGCGCAGATATTTTGACGGTGGAGCCCGCGCCCATGTCCAAGTACGTGT